GGGCGCGCGGGCGGGGAAGGGGGCGCGCCTCCTCCTGGCCGCCCGGACCCCTGGGGTGCCAGCCTCCGTGGCCCCTGAAGAGGTCCGAGGGTCCCCGGCCCGGGTGACGGCTGAGCCGGACCCTGCCTCCCTGTCCTTCCTCCTGCAAGTACTGCTGCGGTGGCCATGGCCTCCGGCAAGCGCTCTGCCGCCAACCCGGGCGTCCCCGGCACCCCAGGGCCCAGAGGAGCTCAGGCAGGGCAGGATTCGCACCCCGCACCCTGAGGGATGACTAGCCTAAGTGTTGGGAGAGCCCGGGACACAGAGCAGGAAGTGTCAGAGGATGTCCCAGGACCTTCCTGTGACTCACGCTTGCTTCCTAGGGGACAGCCCCGGGTCTTCCAGGACAGACACCAACTGAGGCCGGGGATGGGGGCAGAGTGGAAGGGTGTGGGGCGCTCTGGAAGGGGAGCTAGGTGGGGGTGGGGAGAAGGCGCAGGCCTCCCCAACGCACCCCTCCTCCAGGTGCATCACCAGGTCCTTCTACCGGAACGTGGCGGGCGTCCTGCTGGTCTATGATGTGACGAACAGGAGGTCCTTTGAACACATCCAAGACTGGCACGCGGAGGTCCTGGCCACTCAGGGCCCCAGGGTGATCTTCCTGCTGGTCGGCCACAAGAGTGACCTGCAGAGCAGCCGCTGCGTTTCCCTGGAGGAGGCCGAGGCACTGGCCGCCTCCCTGGGGTCGGCCTTCATAGAGACCTCCGCCAGGAACGACTGCAATGTGGAGCTGGCCTTTGACACCCTCACGGACGCCATCCTGCAGGCCCTGCAGCGGGGGGACATAGCGCTGGAAGAGGACTGGGGGGGAGTCCGACTCATCCACAAGGCCCAGGTGCCCAGGTGCCCCAGCAGGAACCCGCAGCAGGGGGGCCCATGCCAGTGCTGATCTGGGAGAGAGCGGGTGGAAGGGGCCCAACCTCACGCACCCTGTGGGCGGGGCTACTGTATTAGTGTCTCTAGGGGCTAACGACAGAGGTTGATGTCAGGAGTATCTTGACATGGTCCTGCCTCCTGGACTTGGAGGTCTCCTTTCCTTGCTAGGGAAAGGGCTAAGAAGCCAGGTATGCATCCCCGTCCTTAAGCCTCAGGGTCCTCGTCTCTCCGTGGAGCTCATAAACGATCCCACTGCTCGGGGAGGTTGTGGTCCCGGGTGAGATAGAGAGCGGGTGTGCCCCTCAGAGCCTGCCACCCTGACAATGCAGAACAGAGACTGTCATCCCTGCACTCCTTTCTGGCCCTGACCTGCCGTCTCTGGCAGCATTCTTGGGCCCAGCCCTGAGCCGCTTGGCGTCTGGACAGCTGTCCCGGGCAGGACCGAGTGGGGATTTCCAGTGTGAGCTTGGCTTGGAGACAGACCCGCTTCTTTGAGACAGGGTTTCACTATGTAGCCCAGGCTGGCCTCGAATGATCCTCTTGCCTCAGCCTCCCAAGTGCTGGGATTACAGGTGTGCCCCACTCTCCTGGGCCTTGGAGCCCCTGTTGGTCCTCAGATTAGGATGAGTCTGGGCCTGGGATTAGGTGTGGTCTCAAACTCAGGGTTGCTACCCACTGTCCCCACCCCAAGCCCAGGAGCTGAATCTGGACCCCAGAGGCAGGGGTGTGGGGAGCGAGCGGCGGTCAGGTTGGGCACATGGACACGAAGAAGAGCCTGGCGGGCTGAAGGAGGCACCCAGCCAGCTGCCGGGCTCTCCCTGGGGGATCTTAGCTTGCGGAGCTCCTAGATTGCCCTGGCCTGGGACAACCCACCTCCGGCTTCCATCTGCGCAGGGGTTGGGGGCCCTCTCACCCCGACTCTGGACAACTCTGAGGGTCAGACCCTCAGAGCTTCGTCTCTCCTTGGGCTTCACTGAGGACATCGCTGGGACAGTGTCATGGCCAAATCGTTCCTCTGCCCATCCTGCTTCCTTCCCCCCCAGGTGTGGCTCTCAAGAATGTCCCCTGAGAAATGTCTGCCCGCCAGCTCCATCTCAGAATCTGCCTCCTGGGGCACCCAGCCTGTCACAGGAACTACCAGGCAAGAATGGGCGTATTTTCATCCCTTCACCAATTTTGTGTTCTTTCCATGAGAATTGACTCTGTTCAAGTCTCTGGGGAAACAGCAGTGACGGTGACAGAAAAGTCCTCTTGGGACTGGCCTTCCAGCGGAAGAGGAAACAGTAACGAACCGCATGATTTCCAGTTGTGTTCAGGGCTGCGACTGGCACAGATCAGGGACGCGGGGCCTGTGGCGCGGGGGCCTCTCTGAGATGAGCTTGGAGCTGCGCGCTGGCGCGGGAGAGAAGCTGGGCTCGGAGCAGGGATCCGTGGCAGTGACCGGCCGCCCCATGCAGCACTGCTTAGGTTCCAGGCGGCTCTGTGCTCACGACAGCCACACCAGGCGGGGCTGTTATCCACATTACAGATGGGACCGGCCGTGGGCCCCGGGCCAGGCCACTGACAGGCTTGCGGTCACACAGCCGAAGAGCCAGGAAGTGCAGTGCTTTCCCCAGGACTCTCTTCGTAGCCTCTCTACCGGAGGGCGGCTTGTTTGGGAGAGAGCAGCAAATGCCGGTCACAGGGCTGTCAGGGGCAGGAGGAAGAGCTGACACTGCCCTCAGAAGCCCTGGCCGGGAGGATCCACAGGAGGGGATGGAGTGCCCTGTCTCTTTCTAAAAGCAAAGTGTCCATAGTGACTTCGGTCCCACGGCGTTGTGACGCTAAGTAAAGGATGTGAACTCCAACCACAGTGCAGCCCTTTTGTTGCTGGGGGCTTTTTTTTTTTTTTTTGTCTTTTTGAGACAAGGTCTCGCTATGCAGTTCAGGCTGACCTTGAGCTCACTTTGTAGACCAGGCTAGCCTCAAACTCCCAAGTCATCCTGCCTCAGACTCCTGAGTGCTGGGATTACAGGTTTGTGCCACCACGCCCAGCTCTGCTAAGGACTCAACCCTGCAGCAACCTGCCCACACTAGGAACTGAAGAGGGGGGCACCCCACCGGCTGCATCCCCAGGCTTTGATTTTTATCTTGATGCAGGATATTGCTAAGTGTCTAAATTGCCCAGGCTGGGATCAAAGTTGCCATCCTCCTGCCTCAGCCTCCCAGTGCTGGGATATACGTGTGCAGCACCACGCCCAGCAAGCCCAGCAGATGTTGATCAGTTTATCCACAGGGTCCTTATGTCACAGGCAGGAAAACTGACTTGGTTGACACTGACACGAGGCCAGCTCCCATTCCAATAATTCCAGGAGTCTCTTTGTGCTGGGCTTTGGGCCAAGCCCAGGGGCCCAGGATGGGTGCTCTTTCTACCTCAGGCTCTGATCCCACCCTGGCAACCCCATCCCCTGTGTGGCCAAACCTGCAGAGAGGCAGTGCTTGGCCTGTACCAGCAAGAAAGCCAGAGAGACACTGCCCTCCCGCCGTACTGATGTGTGAGAGGGTGACTCTCAAGGTCTGGGGCCTCCAAGGTTGCCCCTGGGACCCAATGTCCATATCCTCCCAGAGGAGTCTTTTTTAAAAAATGTCAGTATTGGGGATTGAAGCCAGAAAGCCCTGAGCTACATCTTCAGATCTTTTCTTTCCCTTTTTTTTGTTTTTGCTTTTGTTTTTTGAGACAGGGTCTTGCTGTATAGTTCAGGCTGCCCTTGAACTAACTGTGTAGCCCAGGCTGGCCTCAAATTTGCGGCAATCCTCCTGCCTCAGCCTCCTGAATGCTGGGATTACAAGTGCGCGCCACCATGCCCAGCTATCGATTTTTTAATTTTTTAAAATATTTTTATTTTTGAGACAGGTTCTCACTATATGCTGGCCTTGAATTCACTTATGTAGCAAGGGCTGGCCTCAAGTGGGCAGAGGTCCTTCTACCTTGGCCTCTAAATGTGAGGGTTATAGGCCATGCCTGCCTTCCTTTTTATTGTTCTATTTTGAAACAAGTTCTCCCTCTGTTGCCCAGGCTGGCTCTAAATTTGTAATCCTCATGCCTCAGTCTTCCAAATGTCTGGGCTTACAGGGGTGGACCAGCACCTTGGTTTATAGGGGTTATTTTATTTTTTGTTGTTTTGAGACAGGGTCTCACTATGTAGTTCAGTCAGTCCTTGCACTCAATATGTAGCCCAGGCTGACCTCAAACTCACAGCGATCGTCCTGCCTCAGCCCACATGAGGGTCTTTTTAAAGTACAAATTTAGCTGGGTGTGGTGGTACACAGTTGTAATCCCAGCATTCAGGAGACTGAGGCAGGAGGATCACTACAGATTGGAGCCCAGCCTGGGCTACATAGTGAGTTCAAGGCCAGCCTGAACTACATGGTAAGTTTGAGGCTGGCCTGGATTACATAGTAAGATCCTGTTCCAAAGAACAATGAAAGAAAGAAATCTAGGGTAGTGCGAGTTACACAGCAGGTTACCAAATGAAGTCCTTGCCGCTTTTCCTTGAGTTTCACTATTAATCATTTTAAGGAAACAGAGATTACCAAAGTAACCACTCTAGTGAAATAACAAGGATTTCAGACCCTAATGAAGTTTTGTTATTTTAGACAAGGCCTCACTAGTCCAGGCTGGCCTCAAAACTCTTGGGCGATCCTCCTGCCTCAGCACACCCAAGTGCTGGGATCACAGGCGTGTGTCACCACACCAGCTCTAAGGAAGTTCTTTAAAGTCCTAGCTGGCTGTGGTGGTGCAGAGATCTCAGAACTCCAAGGCAGAGAATTAAAAATTTGAGCCTAGCCCAGGTGATTTGCCAAGACATCATCGAAAAATAAAATAAATAAAAAGGCCTGGGGATGCAGCTCAGCATGAATGTGAGCCCCACCCAGAGGCGCGGCTGGGCTCTGCTGCTGTTTTGTTTTCTTTTGTGGTGCTGATGATGGAACCCAGGCCTGCACACTGAGTTACATCCTCAGCCCTTGTTTATTTTGAGACAAGGTCTTGCTTAGTCACTAAATTGCCCAAGATGGGCTTAAAGTTGTGATCCTTCTCTCTCAGGCTCCCAGAGTACTGGGAACTACAGATGTGCACCAGCTGAGCTGTGTTTTCTTTCTTCCTTTTTTCTGCTTTCTAACTAAGGATGATGTTCTAGAATCTTCCTTTTGAGTCTATTTCTAGGCTTTTTTTTTTTTTGTACCGGGAATCGAACTCAGGACCTTGCACTTGCCAGGCAGGCGCTTGTGCCACTGAGCTATATCCCTGGACTTTTATTTTTTTTTGTCTTTTTGAGACAGGGTCTTGCCATGCAGTTCAGGCTGGCCTTAAGCTCACTTTGTAGCTCAGGCTGGTCTTGAACTTGCAATGATCCTCCTGCCTCAGCCTCCTGAGTGCTGGGATTACAGGTATGTGCCACCATGCCCAGCACCTTTTTTTTTTTGAGAGAGGGTGTCACTGTGTAGTTGAAGGTGGTCTGAAAATGACAACAATCCTCCTGCCTCAGCCTCCTGTGCGCTGGAATTACAGGCCTACACCACCACCCCTAGTAATCCTTTGTGTCTTTCATGGGCTGGCATGCCCTTCCCCCACTTTTATGTAGCTTCTCATCCTTCAGGCTGAGCTGGAACACCACCTCATCCAATGCACCAGCTCCTTCTGAACCATCACAGCCTAAGCATCTCTCTTCGTGGGTCATTTGGGCCCTATCTAGCTATGTCTGTCTGTCTACCGAGCAGTCATCTTTGCAGTACTGAAATTTAACCCAAGCCTTTGCACAGAGCTCTACCTCTGTGTCCTTTTAAAAAAAAATCATTATTATTAAAAAAATGTTGGGAATCAAACCGAGGGCCTTGTACATGCTAGGCAAGCACTCTATCACTGAGCTATATACTGTCAGCCCCTAAAAATTGTTTTTTATTTTGAGACAGGGTCTTGCTAAATTGCTCAGGCTGGGCTTAAATATTACAGTCTTCCTGCCTCAGCCTCCTAGAGTGCTGGGATTATATGTATGTTCCACCATGCCTAGCCATTTATTGTCCATGTATTATTGCCCTGCTAGACTGTGGATCTTCAAGGCCAAGGTTGTCTTTGACTCTTGGAAAGGCTGCCTTACACGGGAGATCACTAGGCTTTTAAAAACTCTTATGGAGTCTGGACGTGGTGATGCACACCTATAATCCCAGCACTTGGGAGGCTGAGGCAGGAGGACTGCCAGGAGTTCGAGGCCAGCCTGGGCTACATTGTGAGTTCAAGGCCAGCCTGCTAGTGCAGCCAGACCCTGTCTAAAAAACAAAAAACAAAAACTCTTATGGAGATTTTCACACATAGTGAAGAATACAGAAAATGGTATAAAGTATAAAATAACACACGGAACACCTCGGTATGGACAACAGCCCTAAGCAGGTATGGTCAAATCTTGGCTCCCCCACCCTGCCACGGAGCTGGGCGCTGGGCCCCAGGGCCTGCGGAGGCGAGGGCTGGGCTTCCCCGCGCGGCACACCCCGGCCCTGGCCGACCCTGCCTTCCCACCTCGCTCCCTTCGTGAATGTTTCTCCTGGGCTCCCGACGGGACAGGAGCCGGGCTCGGGCCGCGGGGGCGGACTTTTGGGCCGCTCCCGCGGGGCCCAGGGGGCTCAGGTCCGGGTGCGCGGAGAGGCGAACTTCGTTGCGCCGCCTTGTTCCCGCAGGCGCAGGGCAGCAGAGCGGAGGAAGGCCGCTTTGCACAGCGGGCCTGGACCCGCCGGGACACGCCGCCCGCTGAGCGGCCCCAGCGCCGCGCTGGCGCTCCACGACGGCTGCTCGCAGAGCCGCGGCAGCTCTGCGGGACCCGCCCGCACGTCCCGGGCCCAGAGCCGGGAGCCCGTGCTCGCCCGCGCTTCCGGCTCCCCTCCTCGCGCAGGCGAAGCCCAGCCCTCGCCGCTGCTCCTGGGGGACGGCGCGCGCCTCTTCTCCCCGCGGCTGCCCGGCCGGCCGCTCTTCCCGGCGGAGGCTGCAGGGGGCGCCCGCGGAGGGGACCCGGCCTCCGCGTCTGCTTCGCTTCGGTGCAGCCCGGAGCCCGCGGGAAGTCCCGCCCGCCTGGCCCCGCTCCCTGCCCCGCCACCGCAGACCCTGAGGTAGGACAGCCCCTCCGCACAGCACAGCGAGGACGGGGACGGGGACGGGGACGGCCAGGGTCTCGAGCTGGGGCTGCGCGCCCCACCCGAAAGGAAGGGGCGCCCTGGGTGCGCTCCGGGGTCTGTTCTTGCCAACCCTGGGAACCGTAAGGTCTTAGCTCGGCTCTGCTCGCTCTCCTCTCAGCGGTTCTCTCCCGGCCCCAGGCGGGTCCGGCTGTGTCCCGGAACTCCAGCCGCTGTGGCACTCGGCCCCCTCGCTGCCTTTTGGTCAATTCTCCCTCAGGAAAACCTCTCAAGCCTATTCCTTTATCTTTAGTGCAGGTAAGTGCATCGGCTTCCCGGCTGGTCCCCTCCTGCCTGCTTCCAGGCCCCCTGCACGCTGGTGGCCCGGCAGGTGTTGCTTCACCATGCAAACAGCGGACACACTGGTCCTTCGCCAAACCTTCACTGGCTTGGGCTGGGCGTGGTGGTGCAGGCCCATAGTTCCAGCATTTGGGAGGCTGAGCAGGAGGATCATTGCGAGTTCGAGACCAGCCTGGGCTACAAAGTGAGCTCAAGGCCAGCCTGAACTGCAAAGCGAGACCCTGTCTCAAAACAAAACAAAACACCTCCACCATCTTCCCTCTGCCGGGGCACTGTGTTTTCAAGCTTCTTATTTATATGACAGTCTTTTTCTTTTTTCTTTCCAGTATTGGGAATTGAACCCAAGGCCTTCAGACTGAGCTATATCGCCAATTCTTTTTATTTAGAGACAGGGTCTCACCAAATTGGAATTTAAGATCCTCCTGCCTCAGCCTCCCAGAATGCTGGCATTATAGGTGTGCACCACCATGCTGTTTTTATGCCAGTTTTAAGCCTCCGAATCCTCTTGTGTAATGGACTTTCTCAGAGACTAACAGTTAAATCACTCAGGCTGAAGCGGGGAGGGCAGACCAGAGCCAGCTGCTGAGCCTCCGTTCCCTGCAGGGCACACTCACAGCCTCCAGGCATGGGCCCTGAGCGAGGGCTCCGGAGACGCCAGCATGCAGCCACCACCGAGCCCGAGGCTACCCCCGGGCTCCCTGTGCAGCTCAGCCCTCTCCCTGCGCACGAGCTGTGCTTTAGCTGCGCTGCCGCACTGACTTCTTCGGGCCTGTGCGGAGTCCATGCATCTGCCCATTGTGCCTCAGTGGCTCCTGGTGCTTCTGGATGAAGAATGCATCTCTTGGGGCCGCGGGGCTCTTACACAGGCAGCTCCCCCTCGGAGGAGAGCCCCGCTCCCTTCAGCGCCAGCCCGCAGGTCTGTGCTCCAACAGCACCTCTCCTCCGGCGGCAGGGCTAAGACGGCGAGACCCAGGGCAAGGAAGCCGCTTCCCTGCCGCACAGCTGATTGAGGACCACGGTCTTCCCCAGTCTCCTCGTCCCCTTTGTCCTGAGCGTTGCGTTCAAAACTGACGCCGGATCCCCCGGCGGGCGAGGTCGGCGCGCCCACGTCGGAACTCAGGCCCGCCCGGCCCGCGGATCGTCCCTGGAGAGCGGCCGGGCCTCAGTGTGTGCCGCAGGGAGGCCCGCCCTCCGACGGC